GTCATGACCCCCATGACCCCCCCCCTGGATCCGCCCTTGCCCTTAGATGAATAGGAAAAGTAAATACCTGAACCACATTAGTTCTATCGAGACAGTCCATGCAATTGACGCGAAATATCCCATTTTGCGAGCAAATATGTCCTTGCCTGTCTCGCCAACAGTAGTTCATGTCTTTAATCACGTCGGCAACGGCACTGATCAGGATTGAAACGTTCTCAAAATGCATGCCCTTGCTAATAAAATAAAAAATAAATCATATGAAAGACCTGTAGTAGACGGAGAATATAACTCTTAAACCTGCGCAAAAAATTGACGCCCATTTTGAACCACGCTGAAGCTATTACTACCCACTTCTTACCAATATTCATGGAAATCGAACGTTACATATGTAAGGAACGGATTATCCAGCAGCAGCATATGGTGCGAGTAGGCGTCAAAAATGACCTTTTCCTTGCCAGTTTGATCTACCAAATTAACGGCGCAAACTGGACCGTACTTTCTAATTTCCTCAGAGAAATGCTTCTCGAAAGCTATGCTAGTTTCTGCTTCACCTGGAACAAAGCAATCAAGTAGCGGTGCGGCTTTTATATGAACGAATAAGTTACCTTTGTCTAATCTGGGCGGCGGCCTGTATTTATAGCCAGGTTGCGACCAGAAGACCGGAACCGAGCCTCGAACCTGCAGAAAAGCCACTTCGTGGCTTTGGTACATGATTATTTGTTCGGTCTCCACATAATTAGCCACTTCGCCGTCTTCATCCACGCCACGGCGTTTGTATCTTTAATAAAAATAAAAAACTGTCCTTTTTCGCCCATTTCCAAACCCACCTAGTTCCAGCTCGAAATCGGCTTCGCCGGGACAAAATCCCCAATGTGAATATTTCGTATTGCTTGTTTTTTGCCTCTTCCCCAAGAAACGGGCCCACTTCCACTTTGCAAGCTTCAATTTGTATGTAGCCCTGGATAATGGGCATAATCCACGGATTGCATAGGGAATTCTACAAAGAAACTTTCCAGTAAGACTCATTCAATAGATAAATCTTCAATGCCCACCTGGCTTTTGAGCAAACAATCCAACATATGTTTATTCCAAAAAAACTTATCGTCGGCAGTTTTCCACAGACAATTTGGGTCGACACGTTGCTCTTTTTCCAAAAAGCACAGTCTCTGCAACGAGTTGGTCAAGTCCGTGGTACGCGAATAGTAAAACGAATTGGCATCAGTAAAGATTTTGTAAAATTCCTCGATAATCTGCCTTTCAAACTTGTCCTTATCCTTGATTTCCCTCTTGGGTGTTCCCGATGCAATCGCAGCCGCTTGCTGGGTGGTATTCTTGATGGTATTCCCAGCCACTCTCAAGGTGCCCCATGTCTTACTTAGCGTGTTCTTTTGCAGCTCGAGCAGGGAGTTTTTGTTGGTCCGTCCTGTCCGTATTCCAATGGACTGATGCTTGGGGCATGGCCGCAGCGAAAGCTCCACATTTTCGGTGCTTAGGGGAAGAAATACAACCGATTTTACCTTGTACACTTCGTTGTCACCGTGCAATTTTCCTACTAGGGCACTTTCTTTGATTAGCAACAGACGTGCATTGAAAAGGGGAATATGTTCGACTTTTCCAATTATACCGTCGCATAGTCCAAGGCATATCGGGTCTTCAGCTTCTGTTAGATCCCAACCTTTAAGTAAAATTTGTGAATTTTAAGGGTTTAGTAGGCGCAAATCTCGGAAGGATAAGAATCGACACAGTGGAGTTTGGGCATTAAATATAGGTTTTACAGATGGTCATTGCGATTTCTTGGTAGGTGAATATTAAGATGTAGAATATACCAGATCTTGCTTTTACTGGGTTTAACTCAGTGGCCAGTTAGTTCCTAGAACTAGCAGGAATTCAATAATTTTTATTCCCAAACTGATGAGAAATTGCCATTCGATAAACTAACTTGTTTCACTTGCATCGAAACAACCAAATGTTTCAATTTTCCATAATAAAAATTGCACAAAAGGCCACATAACAAACATAGAAAATATTGAAATCTGGGTTACAAAGGAAGAATGCTACTTACCAGTTTTGGGGATGAAGACACCAGTGTTCCGATCCCACCACAGTGAAAATTGGCCCTTCACGAAAATATAAAATTCATTAGTGCGGAAAAGTTCCATTTTCCAGCTGGGAAAACGGGGAAATCCTGGAAAAACCTGCTCCCTTTTCAAAACATCCCAGAACGTCAAAACACAAACAAACCCAAGTGAGGTTAGAAGAATTAGTAATGGAATTTCAGAAATGTAATGTGTAAGAGGGAGACATAAAGATCAATGAACTCGCACATGCGAGTAGTGATGAATCATCTTTTGTCTTAGCAGTGACGCAACTGAAGCTATGCAAGGTAATAAATACTAATTACTAACTGCACTAAAACAATTTATTCGGAAAAACTCAAGTCGATTTATTTATTCAGAATAGGCACAAATCAGAGCATAGAAACACTGACACTGGCTCTGTTTGCTAAAATATTTAGTAAACCTGGCCGAGTCTCTGTAAATAATATTCAAATTGTTTTCCTCCGGGTCGATGGTGATGAGGGCGTTTTGAACTTCATCTTCAATAGTAACGTAATGAGTGCGCGCACCAATCACCCTCTTATTGTCTTTGCAACCAAAGTACATAACGAGATCGAGCTCGTTTTTCTCCTTCCAATCGTACTCAGTCAATAACTGCAACAAGAAAAGCATTATAATTGGTCCCGAGTGTAACTAAGCAGTACTTACGGCATAACTTCCAGGCGTCCAGCGTTGCAATTCGAATTTCATTGAAGCCCTGCCATTGGCCAACTCCAAATCAGTGTACCTTTGCAATAGGCGAAACATTTGATTGGATTGAAACAGGTCCAATAATCGTTCGAGATTATGCGGAAGCGTTGACGAGTCGGCTATTTCATAGGAGTACCTGTTTATTGGGGATACTTTCACCCATTTTAAATCTAAAACCTTTGCGATTAATGGGAGGAAACTTCAGTTTAGTTGGCACTTCTCACCAAGGCTTTGCAAATTGTCCAAAATTGCCGCTAACGATTCCTTGCGGAAAAACTCCTTTAAGGAAATTTCCGAGTTTTCTTCAATATAGCTTTGAATTAGTTTAATGGTTTTGCCATTTAGATAATCTTCCTTAATCCAGGTTTCCAGGTCAATGTCCACTACTTTTGAATGGTGGCAATCGCGACTGTACAGGCTGTTTTCTAGGGGCTTGTAAAGTGGCAAATCAAACACAGGGGGAACTTTAGTGTGAAACCAGCCGTTAATTGATAATCTGTATTTGTTCAAACTCGTCACTTCAGCAACCTTGAAAAAATTGAGATATAACAACGAAAATATTCAAAACAGATGAAACCTACCTGATGGTAAGAGTCATTGGTTACGGGAAAGAAAACCAACTGGTTGTTTCCTGGAAAGATTTCTCTAACCACTTCCAGAGGCTGCCCATTTTGATCCTTGGAAAACAACTGCAAGGAGCCTCCGTCCTTTGTCTCCCACCCATATTCGTCTGTTAAATATAAAATAAACGCTACTTTTCTATCCTCTCTTTGGTCATCGTGCACTAAAAGATAATCAGTGTTACTGTATAGGCTACAGGTGGCTGATATATGAGTCAAGTCATAACCGGTAATCGAAGCAATCTGAAAATAGGATTTACTTTTTATTGCAAACACTTCAAGTACAAGCGATGAACTCACCCATTTCATCAGGTCATTTTTCAGAAAGTCATAAACAGTTTCAATTGAATCTATCGATGTTAAATATTTCAGGTCTTTGGACTGGAAGAATTCGTAAAGATCCATATTTCGCACATTAAAGCTTATTTCGTAAAGGCGTTTTCTTAAGTCGTCTAGCAGAGCCGGGTTATCTAGAAGCTTCTTCACAACACATACTTTAAATGGACTGGTGATTACTTCCAAGTGCTTGTTGCTAATCGGAGAATTTGAAGTCCAGCTTTTTTTCAAATCCTCTTTGAAGGTCGGCTCGTTCAGCTCAGCTTGGAAGTTTGGCTGTAGTTTTATTCTCTTCTTCGGCTGAGTGAGGGGATCGTTTGCACATGTTGCCATTAGATGACCTGAAAAGGGCTGTTTGTCCCAAATGAAGGCTTAATTGTATTATCAAGCTTACATCCAATGATGCTTCTTGCTGGCTGAGTTTGTTCCAATAGTTTACAGTCGTTGTCCCAAAGTTCACACTCCAGTTCAGGCTCACTTTCAGACGATTCTTCATAGAAAATCATTTCGTCCTCAGCCTCATCCGAACTTTCCTCATTATCACTATGTTGGGAGGCTGCTCCTCTCTTGCGATCAAGCCTGTTATCTGACATATTCCAGCTTTGGCAGTGTGAAGAAAACAAGGATTTATCTTCAAGAAAATACAGCACACAACATGTTTCTAACCCCGAATTTCCGCTGTTTGTGGCCGATATAACCTCTAACTAAAAATATTCAACGACTGATGATTGATTTAACTAGAGAAACGTCAGCTGGTCTCATTTTGCACAAATCACCCCTTTTCTTACTGCACAAATTCATCTAAACTAAATGTTTTTGAATGCTTTTTAAGTGGAACTGACTACTTGTCAAAACTATTATTTATAACCTCACCTTGTGTCACTGTGGCAGCAGATCTAAGAACAAATAAGCCTCACCTATAATTTATTGCCAATAATAAACATTTAGTCGTAGTTAATTCCGTGCTTTATCTTAGCCAGAAACGGACAAAATGTCCCATCAAACAGGAATAAAAGGTAAAACACTGCAACAATTTGGTCCAAACTAATATTCTGCTTCTTAGCAAATGAAGCTCTAAAAAAGTTCTTCTCGAAGTGTAAAGATGGGAAAATTCGGGTATTTAAAATCGCAATAGAAGAGGGTAAGTAAAACCACATTGCACTGTGTATTTTAACGATGTACTTTGGGTTGAGACTCAAGTGCATTGGCCTGAAGTAGTAATTTTCAAAGTGTACGTTTAACGATACACATTCCAACTCCCAGCAGGTTGCTTTGCTATTATTCAAAGTTCCTTTTAGAGCAGCTGGTGTTGAAAGATCAGCACAATGAGAAGCACAATTGGGAGAAAGACTACAGCAAATACGTGGTTCCATTAATCGAAGAAAATCAGCCGTGCTACATCTTATATAGGTAAGCATGAGCAGCAAAATCTGAAGTTCTGAAGACAAGTTTGATCATTTTTACGTACAAATTGTGCTCATCATGAGGGCGTCCAGGGCAAAGCAAAGAAATTATTCATTACTAATTAAGTTGATTTTAACCAGTGCTCTGGAAGCGCCGACCTGAATTCAAACAGTTAAAATCTGAAAACTGATCAGGTAATTTTGATGTGTTAATTGCTAAAAATTTATCATTTAGACTGGATAGTAAAAGTTCGCTTGGATATGAATGGCTGTTTATTAGCTGGTCGCCAGACACTGCCCCTATTCGCCAAAAAATGCTTTACGCCTCCACTAAAGCCACTTTGAAGCAGGAGTTTGGTTCATCCCAAATCAAGGAGGAGCTGCATGGTACTGTGCTGGTAAGTTTAAGTTTTTTTTCATGGTTTGTTTTCTACTTAAAAGCGTGGTTTATTTGTTTACCGCAATAGTCGGAAATTACGCTCGAGGGCTATAAAAAGCATAAAAAGGATGTGGCTGCTCCCGCTCCACTATCAATGCGGGAAGAAGAGTTACAGGAAATAAAGAAAACCGAAGTTAACACAGAAATTAACATTAATAGCAAACAGCAGACTCTGGGAGGCATAGAGTTCCCTTTAACCGAGAGCGCTAAACAGGCAATTGTTGATATGGCGCGAGGCTCTTACGACTATTTGCAACTACGCATTGGTATGTTTTGGCTAACTCAAACTAGAAAACGCTTCCAATGTTTTTGTTTGTTAGATATACCGGAAGAAACTATTAATTTAGTGTGTGCGGAGAATATTTCCTTAGAACAACTACCTGCGAAAGTTCCTAGCGATACCGCTCGGTATCATTTGTACAAGTTCAAGCATACTCATGAGGGCGATTATACTGAAAGCATAGGTACAGGATCTATTTTAGCTACGTATTAGGGAAGCTTTGAAAGTTTCAAAATTTTTTGCAGTTTTTATTTACTCAATGCCGGGTTACAATATTACAGTAAAAGAAAGAATGCTGTATTCCAGCTGTAAAATTCCCCTGACATCAACCATTACGGAGCTAGGGCTTGAAATAATTAAAAAAGTAAGTAATTTGAAACTAACTAATTAATCTAGGATTTTAAATTTGTCTCTTTCGGCCTCTCAGATTGAAATAGATGCGGGCTCTGAACTTACGGAGCAGTTTCTTTATGAAGAGCTTCATCCTACCAACAGTTTGCATCGGCCGAAGTTCGCAAAGCCAAAAGGCCCTCCTGGTCGAGGCCCCAAACGAATGACCAAGAACCAGTAAACTTCCTTAACAGGACCTGTTTCCTATTTGAGCGCCGTTTTCTAGCCTAGCTTTGTTTTATCCTCAAGAAATAAGTATTCAAGCTCTTGCGACTTTATTTACTATATATTTTTGTACTATTATATTTATATACTGTGCTCAGCTGATGTTTACGGTTGGAGAATATGTATGTGCTAAAGGGGATGAGGATCACTAAATAAACGCTTTAAAGTTTTCAATTATTACAAGTAACTTATGTTGTAAAAGCTGGCATCCTGAAAACTGATTCTTTTGAGTGCTAAATTGTAGCAGTTCGTTTGGCTCCTTTCTGGACAAATCGTTTTTCCGTGTACAACTTTTATTGAACACTATCGCATTTGATCCTCATCCTATTCGGCTTGAACTGTTTTATTCTTATTTAAAGCAGTGTTAAATTGTTTTGGAATATAGTGTGTATGCAAACGTTGGATGTTCACTTTCTCCCTTGCTCAGTCCAGTTCAATTGCCAGCGGTGAGACTAATAAGAACACCCCTTTTGTTGGATTGTATCAATTTATTTGTATAGGATAACGAACACTAACTCTTAAACGTAGCCCTATTTTTCCTCTTTAAGAGAAATGTGCAAGTGCCCTGTTTTGGGCTTCTCTAAATTATCAAGACTTTCTCCGGATTTTCCCACCTCAACGTCGTGCAACTTAACAATGGCAAATTCATCCTCTTCGTGCGCTTCTTTCAATCCCTCTCTTATAATTTCTTCACGCCGCTGGGTAAATCGCTGCTGCCAATACTTAGTGTCGTCCAACGATTGACCGGTTAATTGCAAGATGCCATAAGTGCAAGACCCACCTAGGAAACCCAGTGCTCCTCCTGAAAAAGCCGGGTTATAACGTGGAAAGGGTCAATATAGAATCTTACCTACGGCGCCTCCTGCTAGCCAGGCTCTGGGACCCAAGAAGAATTTATACATACTACCAGCAACAGCCCCTGCGATTGCATACTCCTTAATTCCATATGTGCCTGTATATACTTGAATCATTGTTGAAGTGCTTCTAAAATGCCGCAATTATTTAGAAAAATTACTTTTCTGGAAAAGTGTTCTGTGTATGTTGTCCTCACATGACTAGGGTGGTGAACAAGCCTATTTTCGCACTCCATCTCAAGGCCCCTTTTCCGAAACCGATAGTTACTTTCTCTTGCAGCTTTGACTAGAAAGATTTGCTCTTATTAGCTTGCGTACGTTTCAGCTAAGAATCATGTTGTTGCTTACTTGGGCTTCGAAAGGAGTCCTGAACTTTGTAACCTCGTTGTTCCTCATAAACTCTTCATAGCCACTTTTCCCTTGAACAATCCCCCCATAAATCGCTCCAACCACTATGCCCATGCAGCCGGACTGAAGAATCGAGTTGGCCTCAGGAGAAACGGTTCCAAATTCGCTGAAAACATTCCGCTTTGTTAGAGGGCTTCTTTGAACCCAACCTTTTACCTCACTCTGTCTCGAACATTTGCTTTATTGCTTTCCATCCAGTTACTTGTTTGATTTCTTGGGTTATATTAGTATCTATGGTGTGAGTTTGCTGAGGTTTATCTCGATCGAATATGTGATGGACGAACCCCAGAAAGCCTGTATCGGACATTTTTCAGCAACAGTTTTCAATTCAATAAACTCAAAATATTATATAACATAACCTCAAACCCTAACACAGCTGATTTTGACTGATCGAGACATGTTCATACATAAAGACAATGGACATGTTTATGGTATTTGACTACTGCACTTTGGAGGTTAGTTTCTTTATTTGGAGGGAATAAAGTAAAATGTAAAGTTGGAACGACGTTTATTTGCGGAAAAATGGCTCAACAGGATGTTCTTCAACAGCTAGATGTGAACGTGGACCATTCGCCGGTACGGTACGTAAGAAATCCCAATGTTTAGTTAGTTTAATTGAACCCGATTGAATCCTCAAGGAAACGTGCCAGATTCGATGACCCTTCATTAGATGAGAACAAGAGGAGCGTGTGGAGCCTGACTAACAGGGATGTGATCCTTGATGAGGTTTACGATCATGGAATTGGTCGGTTGGACTGCGATTTTGATGATTTGCCCCTTGAAGGTGACACGATTTTCAATGGACATCAGCCCAAAGGAGTGGACGTGTCTTGTGCCTCAATGACTCCAGATACCAGAGGCAAACATGTTAGTATACTGTGCCTGCAAGCGTTTGTGAAATTGAGCATACCCTTAACTTTTTGGCTGCAATTTGGGAGTTGGATGAGCGTCTTAAGTCGTAGTGACAGTATATCTGATGAGGCTTTTTTCCAGGTTGCTGTTTTAGGATCGACATTACCTAAAGATGCGTATGATAAATTTTCAGTTGGAGAGTGGAGTGATTTGTTGGTCACCAAGACTGTTGTACAGACTACCGATAAAATTAGTGAGTATTTGCTCTGCAATTTTACAAAAATAGTGTAGGGTTACCAGACGGTCTAGTATTCATTACGCCGATCGTAAGTGTCCGGGTTTAAATAGTTGCGTTTATAAATAATGTCAAATAATAGTCCATTCTCTTAGCAATATGTGCACTCTCAGGTGGTGTGAGCCGAACTCAGATTTAGGCAAAAAATTCAGAGAAACAGACTGTTTTTGCAAAGCAATTACAATTGCTTGTACAATCTCTCTAGTCTTGCAATTCAATCCAGTGTTGTCTTCAATTCAGGACAATATTAAAATATTTTCATAAGTTAAAAGAGGGCCACCTCAATTTCAAACACCCTCTATCCGACTCTATCCGATTATTTAAAATCCACCAAAGAAAAGCTAATTATGTATTTTTTTTAGATTATTTTGATCTCTTAAGCGACGAAGTGATTCTTCAAGTATTCAGATGGCTACCAAAGAGCAATTTAAAGGACGTAGCACTATGTTGTAAGAGATTTTATAGACTCAGTGAGGATGAGAGTCTGTGGACTCGAATGGACCTGGCCGGCAAACATTTGAAATCCGGCCAATTAGGCATCGTACTCAGTAAGCAAGTGGTCGTCCTACGATTGGCACGTTCAGAGGTAAGACATTCTCTAAACCAACGAATCGAATCGGCGCCTTATTTCAAAGTATCCAATCAGATCATGGACGTAACGATCCAACCCGGATGCCAAGCCTTTGAGGCTGATTTCCAATCCAGGCTGTTGTATTTAGATTTAAGTATGGCCTGCATTGCGTCAGACAGTTTAGTTGTGCTGTTCAACAAATGTAGAAGACTGAAGAAGTTAAGTTTGGAGAACGTTCGGGTGAACGACTCCGTGCTGTTGGCATTATCAGCCAACAAAGACATTGAAGTGATCAATTTTGCCATGTGTTCAGGAATACGAGTGGATGGTCTTGAGCACTTGCTCTCAAATTGCAAGCAGTGAGTACTGGCGCTGTTCTCATAGCAATGTTCAAATTTGAGATATTTTTCAGAATCACAGAGCTGAACATTGCGTGGACCTATCTGAGTTCGAATAGTATTAAATATATTTGTGAAAATCTGTCACCTACCATGGACAGATTGAACTTTTCTGGCTGTAGGAAGCTGATGACTGATAGATGTGAGATTAATTCTCCGGTTGTGAAACTTATAAAAATCAAATATTGTTGCAGATGTTGCTTCATTAGTCTCCAGTTGCCCAAAACTTAGGGAACTTGACTTGTCTGATTGTACAGTTATAACCGGGGAATCCATTAAACAGATAACTATTCTCAACAAACTAACCTTTGTTGCCCTCTCTAGATGTTATTTCATACCCTACAAAGCCATATCGTAAGTATAGAACGCACGACAACAACACTTTATGTAATCATTCCCAACACCAATTTCCCCGTTTAGAATGTTAAAGAAACTGCCAAACTTGTTGTATCTGGACATACATGGAGGGTACATCGAAGCTACCGAGCTGAAGGAAATCCAAAAGGACTTGGGAAACTCAGTACAGATCAACCAGTTCAAATTCAGCTCGATTGCTAGGCCCACCGTTGGCGTGCACCGCTCTAGTATTTGGAACATGAGAGTCCGCGAATGAGGCTTGCATCATAAAACATTAAAATTACAATTACTTGAAGAAGTTAAGAGACTCTAGTTTTTATTGTTTATTTATTGTATTTTTTATTATTTAGAGGTGAGGACATTTTCATTTTCATTTGACTCGATTCAACATTGTAACAAAAGATGTACTTAACCGACGGTCGAGGTTACTTGAAGGCGAGAGTGTCCGGCCCTATTCAAATAGATATTGAAGTTTCAGTCGTTTTTCTCGCATTCTAGTTACCAAATCAGCCCTTATCCTAGTTTATATATACTACATCATTTAGATTCGGCTGAACAGAAAAACGTTTTAAATATGTATTATTTTTTTTAAATTGACTTACATCCGATGTAGAGGATTCCGCGGACGAGAGATCCTCAAACCTGACGTCTTTGTCCGTTTTTTGAAAAGCAACTGCCCGGTGATTTTTGTCCGCTTGTTAGTGCATCTTCCTCTATCCCAGTTACTTCGACTTTGATATTTTCCTTAAATTTTTTGTATTATCAGCCGGGTTTAGTGGAGTTGTTCCACAATTTTTCGTAAAATTTTAAATGATTAATTTTCAAAAAATTAAATCTATCCAACGATGCCAAAACGAATTCTGTGGCTCGAATGGTTCTTGAGAAACTTCGAAAAAAGCAGTGTTATGTTCAAGTGGATTTTGCAACTTAAAAAAAAACCACGCACATCTAAAACTTCTTGAATTCAAGCATTTTTGAGAAAACTGCCAACATTTCCCCATCCATGGTTCACTTTCTAAAAAGGTCATTTATTTCTGTCTAGAATGATGCACAAATGAGCGTTCTTGC